TTTCGGTATATGCCAAGGAGTGGGATATCTGGGTCAAATGGTGGTTCCATTCCATTCTCCGTACTGCTTTCCAGAATAGCTGCACTACTTTGCAGTCCCACCAGCAAGGTCTGAGTGTAGCTTTTCCCCCATATCTTCACTTACATTTGTTGTTTCTTGTATTCTTAATAATTGCAATTCCAATTTCAGTAAGATGGAATCTCAGTGTAGTTTTAATTTGCATTTCTCTAATTGCTAGTGATGATGAACATTTTTCATATATTTATTGACAATTTGTATTTCTTATTCTGTGAAGTGTCTGCTCAGTTCCTTTGCCCATTTATTGATTTGGGTTATTTCTTTTCTTCTTTTTTGATGTTACACTTTTTGAGTTCTTTAGGATATCCTAGAGATTAATGCTCTATTTGAGATGCAGGTGGCCAAAGATTTTTCTCTCATTCTGTAGGCTCTCTCTTCATGTTCTTTATTGTTTCCTTTGCTGTGAAGAAGCTTTTTAGTTTGATATAATCCCATTTATTGATTCTTGATTTTACTTCTTACACTTTAGGAGTCTTGTTGAGGAAATCAGTTCCTAAGCTGACATAATGGAGATTTGGACTCAATTCTTCTAGTAGGTATAGGTTCTCTAGTCTAATGCCTAGGTCCTTGATCTACTTTGAGTCGAGTTTTGTGTAGGGTGAGAGAAAGGGATATAATTACATTTTGGTACATATGGATTTCCAGTTTTTGAAGCAGCATTTGTTGAAGAGGCTATCTCTTCTCCAATATATGTTATTGTGCCTTTGTTTAGTATGAGATAACTGTATTTTATGTGGGTCTGCCTCTATGTCTTCTGCACCATTGGTCTTTATGTCTGTGGTACCAATACCACACTGTTTTTGCTACTATAGCTCCGTAGTATAATTTAAGGTCTGATATTGTGATGCTTCCTGCTTCTCTTTTCCTGGTGAGGATTGCTAAGGCTATTCTGGGCCTCTTATTTTTTCAAATTGATCTCATGACAACCTTTTCTATTTCTATGAAGAACATCATTAGAATTTTAATAGGAATTGCATTAAATTTGTAAGGCACTTTTGGCTGTATAACCATTTTGACAATATTAATTCTGCCTATCCAAAAAACATGGGAAATCTTTCCATATTCTAAGGTCTTCTTCAATTTCCTTCTTTAGTGTTCTGTAGTTTTCACTGTAGAGATCTTTCACCTCTTTTGATATATTCATTCCCATTTTTTTTTCGAGGCTACTGTGAATGGAATAGTTTTCCTAATTTATCTTTCAGTTCATTTATCACAGATGTATAGGAATGCAATTGATTTACGGTTGTTAATTTTATAGCCTGATATTTGCTGAATTAATTTATGAGTTCTAGAAGTTTTCTGGTATAGTTTTTTGGGTCTTCTAAATATAGAATCATGTTGTCGGCAAACAGAGATAGTTTGAGCTCTTCTTTTCCTATTCTCACCCCTTTAATTTCTTTCTCCTGTCTAACTCTTCTGGCTAGAGTTTCCAGGACTATGTTGAATAGAAGTGATGAGAGAGGGCATCAAAAGGCAACATTTCTAACGATGCATCTAGTTCATAGGTTTTACATTTGAGAGTTATGAAACATATCTAAAATCCCTGTGTGAATTAAATTTCTTCTTAAATAAGTTGTCCTTTCTTCTGAAAACTGTCACTGAAAAAAGTGGCTCCAATGAGATATAATTGGGGAAATAATTAGTGGATCAAACAATCGTTTTCAGTTCGACACTGGATAAATAATACATGTTGTATAATTTATTTGGATTCTGAAAAGCTTTGTAAAATATGATGAGACATATATTGGACTGTTTAATTAATGTTACAGTAAAGAGGTAGTATTAGAATTAGGAAATGGCTTGGATGTAAGAAAAACTTGAGTTGCATTCCCAATGCAATCTCCCTCTGTTTGGATGATCTTATGAGACACTCAATCTCAGTTACACATCTTACATAGGGGATAAGGATGATAATAACAATTATTGTTTCCTTTGCTGTGAAAATTTTTTTCAGGATTATTGAAGGGAACGATGTTTTCAAATTTTACAATAAAAATACCTGGTCCACATACATGCTTATAAAATGCTGGCTTACACTGTGATCATTTATATTCCCTTCGTTTAAAAGCACTGGGATTTGAAGTATGCAAGAGTTAAACTCTATAAGTGGTTTATGAAAAAATTTTAAAATGTTTTTAACCAGTTTGGAAAGAGATCTGGTTTTCAGCCAACAGACCACATCGACATTTGCATGCTGGCTTAACTTATCTTTCTTTGCGGGCTGAAGAATTTCAGGTGGCATTTCAAACAAATACATGATGATTTCATCAAAATATTCATGGGTATTTTTAAAGGAAAATATAGAAAATATATTTTAAAGCACCTTATTAAAATAATAAAAATGTCTATATTCATACAGAAGTAAAACCTGTTTTTCAGATTCTTTCCTTCATTCATTTCTGGTGTTATTTGTAATTTTGACATTTGAGAAGTTTCAGATTGGATTCTCTTCTATCGTTACCCATGAACAGGGCAAATAAGAGTTTTACATAATTGCTTTTGCCCGTTTCTGATTTTTAAAGGGGAAAATATCAATTGCTGCAAATTTTAAAAGTACAGGATAGTATCAAGAAACACACAAATAAAGCAAACACAATACTATTACCGAGAATAATATTATAGCATTCTCACATTTGAAACTTCTGCATGTAGAATTGTAGTAAGGAAAGGGACATTACTTTTGTTTTACTCTTCCATCAGGCTTTCCTTGCTACTCTTAGCCTAATAATACAAAGAAGTATAGAATGTGTGATTTTTGTAGAAAGAGAAATATTCCCTCAGAAGTACAATAATTACAACATAATTATTTATCACAAAGAAAAGGACTCAGGTTCAGAAGCAATGAAATCAATGTAAAACAGGAAAAATACACACAAAATTCACTAAGATCCATTTTATCTGACAAAGGAATTCAACAAGGGAATCAGTGGTTGAATGATGCTTTTGTGTACCCCCAAAATAAACTGGCCAGAGGACTAAAACCTACATCCACAGGAAATGCTGCAATATCAAAGAAATGGACGAAAATATTAAAGGGTTTTCTCCTTTTTTGATGGCCAAATTCTGTCCTGTAAGCAGTGCATTAGACGCTAATGACATACGATTTCTCACTGACAGATTTAACAGCATCAATAAGGCCTCTCTGTCCATTGCAGCAAATTGATCCTACATGACACTGACAAGGGCAGCCTGCACTTAATGACCTCCATCGCTGAAGGATGGAAATGAAAAATGACTGGAAGTCCAAATAAATCTTTGAAAGTTTCCCTGAAACAGGTGTGCTGAAAGGGATTCATCTGAGGGATCACAAACATAAACCCGATCTCCTAACATTCTCCATTGTCTGCTCATGCCAATGTCTCATTCCTTGTCAAGATTTGCTTTAATTTAAAAAAAAATGTGGTCATGACAATTTTGTCCTAACTATGGCAATAGAATGCCAGGAAAAGGCATGACTCTTCACTATTTATGCAGAAATCTAATATGTTTGTCATTGGCCACCAAAGGATTCTATGTAAACTAGAAACAAAAGTTCATACAATTTGTTTTTGTCTTCCCCTTGATTAGAGAAGAAAATAAGAGATAGAAATTGATCATTTTTCTTCCCCAATGACCAGGAATGCATAGAACGTGTTTAACTGCAATAATAATGTTAAATGCTTGAAATGACTGGATATATTCCCCATGGATGCAGAGATACTTTTTCTTTGAACCCTGCACCATGGTCTGAGGACAGATAGTTGCTTTCTTAATTCTTTTCTGAACACATTTACTTCTTGATCTACCTTCATCTTCTACTGTTTCAACACAAATTTGTAAGAGAAAAACTACACCCTTTTTTTTCCCATGTATAGGCCAGAAGCTTTGACTCTCATCTGAGCAGATGGATGAGAAACAGAGGGGAGTTTACAAGCAGCTACAAGCAGCATACCAGATGAATGCCACAGTCACTTACAGCCACACAGTGTCCTTTTATTTTCCAACTAACTTACTATGAGTGTCATTTTTTAAAAATTCCTGAACAATTGCTTGTATAGGTAAATTTTTACACACGAGAAAACTGAGGTTGGAAAGGTTCAGTAACTCACCAAAATCACTGAGTTCATGATGGGGGAGTCTATGTTCAAATTTCATCCTTCTGCTCTCCCAGTATTCACAAGAATAAGAGGTAGGTGTAGCACCAGAATTCTAAACTCTAATTTATAGAGCAGCAGCATTGAGCAATACCCAAGGAGAAAAGACACAGTGTACTGGTTGTTGTACATAGGTAAATTATTTAAAAAAAAAAATCATGCCTCTATTTTTTAAAATTCAAATCCGGGGTGGGGGGCAAAGATTGAAAGAAAGTAACTATATCTTGCCACTAAGTAACTAAAGACCATGGAGGAAGTAGCTATATATTAACACTTGTACAATGCAGCTGTTTTACTCTCCTGCTGTCACCATGACAGAGTTTTCACAAATTTTTAGAGTATTTATAATTCCCTGCAATAGCTATCAGAGAAAGTCAGCTTTTTTCCCCCAAAGTTTCTAGTTAATTCTTTTATCAAGTAAACATATATCAAAAGGAAGACTTAGAGGCCAATCATGGAAAGTCACCTACAATTAGAATTGAAATTTGAAGACTTTGATAACATGTATGTCCAAAAAATAAAAAAAAGAAATTTGGGACTAATGGTCACAGCAACTAAAAGCAAATTAGTATAGGATGGTGGAGTAGAAACTAAGTTTTTCATGCCTCAAGTATTCTTTCAAAATTCTATTTCAACTTTTGATATAAATATAAAATAAAACTTTACAAATAAAAACATGCTATTTTTTTGTGGCATAGGACCACCATAACAATGAAGACCCCAAACTGACCAATTTTTACTTTTTGTAATAAACATGTCAAATAAGTGATTAAAAATTTTTTTAAATACCTCTTTCTTATCTCTAACAGAAGCATCAATTGATAGCTTTCTGCTATATATATTGAAGAATTTGTCCTTTTCGACTAAGAAAATTTCCAGTAGTTTTTGATATTCTTGAGCTAAACGTAGATTTTCTTCCAGGGAATTATCTTGCAATTTCTAGAAGATAAAATTAAGACCATTTGTTTGTTTAATTTTTTTTTCCATCTTTAGAATTACTTAAAAGTGTTCTAATATATAGTATAGAAAAGTAACAAAATAACCAAAAAATTGTTTCCACTGAAATCTATACCCATTTTCAATTTAATAATTTCCTTTCTCAATGCAGATTAATTTTTTAGCATTGATATATGATTTATCAGAGTTTATCCACCTTTTGCTCCCTGGGCTTCTCTCCATCACTCCTCCTGGAAGGAGAATCTTGGGAGGGTCTTTTCAGAATCCCAGTAGTTGTTTTTTTAATTTCCCAGCCCCTTTTCCTTTCCTCGGACCCTGTGCTCAAACCACTAGAAGACAATTTGCTTAGAATTTGACCCCTAAGAGGTTTAGAGTGCTGGCACTCATAAAAAACATTCAAAACAGGAGGAAAGAATTAAAGCATAGGGAAGTCAACATTTAGAAGTACCCAGAGCCACTATTTATTAATAATATACTTTAACTGTGTAAAAGGTTATATATGACTTTGTGAGAAGTTGAGAACTTTATACCTCCCTCCATAACAAAATAAATATTTGCCAAATCTAATGCAAACACTTTAGAAAATAATTTTGCATCATTACCCAAAAGCACACTAAGGGACAATCTGTAATTTTATGTTAGATGCATGAATTCAGTTTAGTTGATGACTCCTTATATTTCTTGCACAGAAATTTTTCTTTAAAAAATACAAAATGTATCAACAGACTTGAATATTTTCAAACCTGTTAATTCAGGCAATTGTCTTATGGGATTCTATTCTAAATTTTTAAAATCTTTATTCATTACAATACTATTCATAGCAGCAAAAAAGTTTTTAAAACCCATAAATGCATATAAATCATGATAATGATGATTAAACTACTAGATACAAAAATAACTCTTATGAAGCAATTAGAAATGTTTCTTTGTGAAAATTGCCGTCACATCAAACCTTTAGTATAAGTTGTTAAAAAATATATGTGGTATAAGAATGTACATAGGAAAAATCTAATTTAGCAGAAAATTGCCTTACAAATATTTCTGTATTTACACACTTGAAGATTTATTAAGGTCAGTAAACATATTTCTCATGATAGCCTGTATCCATATTGATCCCCAGAGATTAATACTATGTCATAGGTGTTCTTCAAAAAGACAAAATGATGAACTGAGAATCATTTAATATGCCCTTGTCCTAATTCTGGCACAATAATTTAGAACTTTAAAGCCTATCTAGTAAACTTGCCTAAAATCATGGAGAATTGTCTTTTGTTAGGAGGGCACAGTTCTATGAAAATATTCCTTTGGTGGAGGCACTTTTTTAAAAAATGGCTGGATAACATTTTTATACCATAACACTAATATTGAAATCTAATCCTGAAGTTACTGACTTGAAACACTGAGTAAGCTTTTGCATTTGCTGTGAATAACTTTGATGAGGAAAAGTTTATTTTGGCTCATGATATCGGAGGTTCAATTCTTGGTCCACTGACTCCATAGCTCTGGAACCAAGGTGGGAAGAACATCATGGCAGAAGAGCATAGCGGAGGGAAGCTGGTCAGGACATAGCAACCAGGAAGCAGAAAGAAAACTCTATTCACAAGGGGCAAAATATAAATCCCCAAAACATACTCCCCATGATCTTCTTCCTCAAGCCATACCTTACCTGTCGTTAGTTACCACCCAGTTAGTCCATATCAGAGGATTAATCCATAGATTAGGTTAAAGCTCTCATAATCAAATCATTTCACCTTGGAACATTTTTGCATTTTCTCATACATGAACTTTTGAAGGACAACTCATATTGAAACAATAACACACTGATAATGTTCAACTGGAGGTGGAAGTGGGACTCATTTCGAGTTTCAGGCTGTTTTGTTGCATTTAACATAAAGACAGTTCATATCTTGTTTTTCAGTTACCTTTCTTTCAAGTCCTAGATGGCTACTATAAACATTCAATTTGAAAAGAGTGTTGTAAAAGTTGGGGAATTGGTATTTATCATATTTAGTGAAATTTAATGAGGAAATATTTGTTCAGTTATGCCTTACTCACTATGCAATATGCAGATTTATTTCTAAATGCATATATTTCAATTTCTGAGTGACATCAATTCCTACCACTTTATATGCTATAATTAGAGCAGACTCCATGATATTAAATTATGTGGTTATGCCAATTGCCAATAAATCATCAAAACACTGTTGTATCGGTCACAATATTTTATATTATCATTCCTCAGTAATGAACATATAGAAGGATTTACCGATTCACTACCTATTCCTGAAAGTCAGTGACCTTCAAAAATGAAATAAAGTTTTTAAAATTTTAAATCATAGTATTTAGCTGACATTGCAAGTGTTTTTCTATATTTTACTATGGTTTCATCTCATAAATCGGGCTTGTGTAATTTTAACCATTAGTATTATAACATGCAAATAAAACAAAAAAGGAATGATAATTATTGGTGGAAGTATGTCTGGGGAAAATAATGCCACCACTACTGAAGTTGAACAACTTGTAAAAGGACAGCAGTAAAAGGTAATTAATATGGGCACAAAAGTGTAGGTCAGGAATATAACAAGTAAAAATGAAAACAAAGAAAAATAAGAGAATAAGATGATTTTTAAGCCTTTAAATTCATCAAATCCAGCTGAATTTATTAGTAAAATCTTTCAAGTTCTCTCTGATATGTGGATGCTAACACACAATGCGGGTGGGGAATAGAAGTTCATTGGATTAGACAAAGGGGAGTGAAGGGAAGGGAGGAAGGATGGGAATAGGAAAGACAGTAGAATGAATCAGACATAATTTTCTTTTTTCACATATAAACAAACAACCAGTGTAACTCCACATCATGTTCAACCACAAGAATGAGATCCTAATTAGAATAAGTTATGCTCTACATATGTATGTATAATATGTCAAAATACATTCTACTGTCACATATATCTAAAAAGAACAAATAAAAATATGTAACATTTAAAAATTTAAAAAAAAACTTAAATCTTTCATGTTAAGGTCTTGGTTAAATATGAATTTGAAAAGTATATTTTTGGATCTAAAAGTATTAATGAAAATTTTGATTACAATCTCTGTAAGTTAAAATAACTGCATTGAGTTGATTTATAATTTCATTTCATTTATTTATTCATTCATTTATTTGTTCAGTTACTTTTAAATAATAAAAGCTTTGAATATGATTTTAATTTAATAACAACTGTATGCCAGATTCTCAGACACAATAATGTGCCTCAAGGAGTTTGTTCTTATGGAAGAGATTTTTATGTAAAAGTTACACAAATACTAATTAGATGATAAAATTCTGAATCTGTTGTGCTTTTTGTTTCCATACTTATTAAATTTATCCAAAATTCTAAATAAATATAGCACTTTCTCAAAGCTAAATTTATTGCTATTTATTCAATTCATGTTATTAATGTTATTAAGTTATTTGGAATATGTCTTTAAAAAAATAACTTTATTTATTCTTTTTTTTTTAATGTGGTGCTGAGGAGCAAACCCAGTGCCTCACATGTGCTAAGGCAAATGCTCTACCACTGAGCCACAACCTCAGTTCTTAGAATACATCTTGATAAAGAAAACAGGCATGCCAAATGTCTCTTAACAGTTTCCATATCATTTAGAATTTAGTTAGAAAAATATTTAGCTTGATGTTGATTTGTTCTCTATTATCTCAAGTCATTTGTTAAACCTCAGTGTTTAGAGGATGTGACAACTTCTTATATCCCTATTTTATTAGGAAATAAAAATTAAGTTTATATAGAGATGAACAAAAGCTAGATTGTGAGTCCCATGAGTGCTGAGACCATCATTTTGCTCACCCCTAAAATGCGTCACACAGAGCACAGCTGCAGTGAGTAGGTGTTTGGCTTTTCAGCAAGTTAGGGAATGAATGATTATACATTACCAGTTAGGACCTGCATATATTTTGCATGTTTAAACCACATATTTTATTTGCCACCATCAATGAAATAGTCTATTAATAATTTTTAAAAATCACCTATTATAATGGACACAGTTATTGACACTATTTGATGCTACACTACTGAGAAATAAAGATCTTAAATACATAAAGATAATTCACACAGTATGTTTATGCACTGAAAATTACTCTAACAATATACCACAGCATCCAGGCTTGACCAGTTATTTATTTGCAGTACCTCAGTGATTTTCACAAGGTATATGAAGCCCTTAAAACTATAGCTAGCACTTTTGGGATACATGCTCAGCCTCTGATATCAAAGGGTTGAAGAACCATTGCTAAAGAAATAGTTGACTTCCTTCCCTGTCAGTTAAAGGGCTGGAAAAAGAGGCCAGACTGAGACTCAAAATATCCACATAGTGTTTCTCTATTATTTTTTTTTTCACTTGACTTTTCTTATTCTTTAAGCTTTGGATTTCACCTCAGACATTTCCTCTGGTTTCTCCATTTTCAGTTTATTTTTCCCACTGTTTTCTTTTTTCTCTCTGCTTCACTCTACTGGTAAGTGGGGAATAAGAAATTTCCATCAGAGAACTGGGTTCTTTGGGACAAAAATATGAAGCATATTGTACATTTCACCTTGTGGTACATAGCCAAGAACTTCAAAAGGAGGCCAAACTTGAATGTTAACTCATGGATTCCACACTTAATGGAAAAGAACTAAGACTGACACAGTAACCTTAGTGAGAAAGAACACTATCTAGGACAATAAATCTTCATTCTAACTGGAGGTATGATGTAAGACAATAAGAAAATGATAATAAGAATTAGAATCAGAGTAGCAGTTACCATTAGGGAGTGCTTACTATAGCCAAGAACTACTCTAAGAAAGCAGTATTACTGAATTTATTCTGATAGCAATTATCTAAAATGTTACTATCCCTATTTTATAGTCAGGGAAGACAAGGCAAAAAGGAATTAGGTGGGGTGAATTGGATTTTCCAAAAATATCCACAGTAATATTTTCAGTTCC